GAAGAGGAGGAGGAGGAGGAGGAGAGGAAGAAGAAGGGGGAAAGTGGAAGAAGAAGAGGAGGAGGAGAGAAGAAAGAAGAGAAAGGAGGGAGAGGAAGAAAAAGAGGAAAAGAAAAGGAGAGGAGGAGGATGGGTGTAGAAGGAGGAAGGGAAGAGAAGAAAGGAGGAGGAGAGAAGGAAGAAGAGGAGGAGAGGAAGAGGGAGGAGGTGGAGGAAAGGAAGAAGAAGGAAGAGAGATGGTGGAGAGAGGAGTGGAAGGAGAAAAGTTTGAAAGGAATTCTCAAGCACTCTGAGAACAATCAGAAAGACAAAAGCCTCTTTGAGAAAGGCTCTAACATGGATTTTGCTGCAGTGTTAAAATAGACAACTTTGCTTAAATTTCTTTGGGAAAATGCCCTTTGGGGGGTGCTCCAGTCACAATGCATTAATGGTGTGTGTGTGTGTGTGGAGTGGGGGAGAGAATGGACAGAATGCAAGCATTTAATGCAGTCAGAATCCACTACAGGCAATTACTTAGAATGCAAGTCATTTTTTTAAAAAAAAGCATCCACATGCTCGGAATCCACATATGTTCATTATTACAAACAGAGACAAATATTTTGGTTCCTTTCACCTTTTTGACATTAAATCCATCCTGTTTCCTCATCGGAAACTGCTCTTGGTTCTAATTAAAGGTCCTGCATGACAACCTGCAGAAATTTCCATGCGACGTAATTTTTTCACACTCACTTTTGCACACAATTTTCTTTCCCCATATATCCCACGCTGGCCTTCATTTTTGACTAACGTATTTTTTTTTCCTGCTTGATGTTGCTGAATGGGAAAAAAAGGGGGGGGGTAGGGGAATGGAAGTCCCGAAAGAATTAGGAAACTGACGAAGGAATGAATACTGCATTGAATGGTGTGACTTGGGAGATATTGACTACCTCCCTGCATTCATGGAGATAACTCATACAGAGACACAACGGAGAGCTTCCTCATAGGAAGTGGCTTTCCCTACATTCCTAAATCCAAAACAGTAACTCACACAGAGCAGAGGGCAT